TTGGGTAAAAGTGGTGAAGGCTATATTATTTAGTAGGATATAAGCATTCCAATTTGTACAAATAATCAACACATTGAATCCTATAATGGCATAAATGTATTTATGATCTATGTACAAAAGACTTAATTTAAAAAATCCTAATCAACTTTTCATTAAAAAAGTTATACAACACGATCAACTAGGATTCTTCTTAGGGATGCAAGGCTGGTTTAACATATGCAAATCCATAAACATAATTCATCATATCAACAAAGAGCAAAAACAAAGACCATATAATCCTCTCAATAAATGCAGAAAAAGGCATTTGATGAAATTTAACATCCTTTCCTAATTAGAACACTGAAGAATATAGACATAGGTGGCACACTTATTAAACTGATTGAAACCATCTATGACAAACACACAGCTAATATTATACTGGAGTAAAACTGAAAACTTTTCCACTCAGGACTAGAACAAGACAAGGGTATCCTCTATCTCCACTACTACTCAACATAGTACTGGACATTCTAGCCAGTATTATCAATCAGGAGAAGGAAATTAAAGGTATCCAAATCAGGGCACAAGAAGTGAAACTCTCTCTCTTTGCTGATGATATGATACCATACATAGAGAACCCTAAAGACACAACCACAAGACTCCTTAAAGTGATAAAAAAAAATACAGTATCATCTCAGGATATAAAATCAATGTCCACAAGTCAGTAGCCTTTGTATATGCCAATAATAGCCAAAATGAGAAGTAAATCAAGGACACAAGCTACCCTTCTCTGTAGCTTCATAGAAAATGAAATACCTAGGAATATACCTCCATAAAGGAAATGAAGGACCTCTATTTAAAAACAAACAAACAAACAACAACAACAACAAAAAAACTATGGACCCTTATGAAAAGAAAAAGCAGAAGATATTAACAAATGGAAGAATATGCCATGCACATGTCTGGGAAGAATCAACATTGTTAAAATGTCTATACTTCTCAAAGTAATCTACAGATTCAATGCTATCCTTCTTAAAATACTAACATCATACTTTCAAGACTTGGAAAAAATAATTCTTTGTTTTGTATGGAACCAGGAAAAGCCCTGTATAGTTAAGGCATTTATTAGTGATAAAAAACAAAGCGAGGGGCATCAGCATACAAGACTTTTGGATATACTATAAGCTCATAGTATTGCCACCAGAATAGAGACATAGACATCTGGAATTGAATAGAAAACCAGGAGGTGAAACTAACATCTTACAACCACCTAGTCTTTGATAAACTAAACAAGAACATACACTAGTGGAAAGAATACCTATTCAATTAATGGTGCTGGGAGAATTGGATATCTTCATGTAAAAGCTTGAAACTGGACCCATACCATTCTCCACTCAAAAGAAATTGATTCAAGTTGGATAAAATATTTAAATTTAAGGCAGGAAATGATAAAAATCCTCAAAGAAAGCATGGGAAAAATAGTTGAAGACATTGGCCTGGGGAAAGACTTCATGAAGTAGATTTTTGAGGTAAGTGCAACATCAATAAAATTAAATCAATGGGACTTAACTAAACTGAAAATATTTTGTACAGCTAAGGAGACAACAATAGGAATATACAACCTATACAATAGGAAAGGATATTTGCATATTTTGAATCAGACCAAAGCTTGATAACTAGGATCTCCAGAGAAATCAAATAACATGAAAAAATACAACAATCCTTTATAACAATGCTAAGACAGATGAATAGAACCTTCTCTAAAAAAGACAGAGAAATGGCTAGAAGATACATGAAAAAATACTCATCATCCCTAATTGTTAGAGAGATGCAAATCAAAACCACTCTGAGATATCTAACCCCAGCAAGAATGGCCCACATCACAAAAATCTCAAAACTGCAGATACTGGCATGGATGTGGAGAGAAAGGAATACTTTTACACTGCTGGTGGGACTGAAAACTCATGCAACCTTTTTTAGAAGGAAATATGGAAAATCCTCAAAGACCTTCCGTTTGATCCTAAAATCCCATTAGTGGGCATCTATCTAGAAAAATAAATCCTTTTATCATAAGGACACTTGTACTAGACTGTTTATTGCACCTCAATTTATAATCACCAAAATGTGGAAATAGCCTAAATGCCCACCACCTAAGCATGGATTAACAAGCTGTGGTATGTGTATACCATGGAATACTATTTAGCCATTAAAAGATGGAGACTTTACATCTTTTGTATTAATATGGATGGAAGTGGAACACATTATTCCTAGTAAAGCATCACAAGAGTGGAGAATAAGAATCCTATGTACTCAATTCTGATATGAGGACAATTAATGACCTAGTACATGGTAGGGGGTAGGGGAAGGGGAGACGAGAGATAGAGAAGGAGGGAGGGAGGTGTGGGAGTCATGGTGTGTGACACACCTTTTGGGTGCAGGACACAATTATAAGAGAGACTTTACCTAACAAATGCAATCAGTGTAACCTGGTTCTTTGTACCCTCAATGAACCCCAATTTAAAAGAAAAGAAAAGAAAAGAAAGCAGCATGGAGGTTACTCAAAAAACTACAAGTAGAATTACTATGGCTATTATGGGATCCAGAAAAACTTCAGATTTTATACCCAAAAGAACTGCAATCACAATCTTGAAAAGGTATCTTCTACTCCACATTTATTGCAACATTATTCCCAATATCCATGATGTGAAAACAACAAAAATCTCCAATGACAGAGAAGTGGGTAAAGAAAATGTGACATATAACTGTACTGGAATACTATTCAGCCTTATAAAGAACAAAATCCTACTATTTGCAACATGTAAAATAAGCTAGTCACAGAGTAGCAAATACCATTTACACATGTATGAGGCATCAAAAATAGTCAAACTCATATAAACAGAGTAGGTTGGTGGTATACAGGAGCTGAGAAGAAGGAGAAATGGGTAATTGTTGCTGAACACGTGTAAAGTTTCAGTTTACACAAGCTGAATGAGTTCTAAATATCTGCAGTACAACATAATATCTATAGCTAACAATGTGATCTGTGCACTTTAATATATGTGGATAGTATAATTACCATGTTCATTGCTCTTATCATACATAAAAATAAAACAAACAAAATCCAAATGAAAATGATAATACAATTTTTGGAAGTGATAGATATGTTCTATATATTGATTATGATAATGATTATCAAGGGTGCATGCACGTGTCCAAACTTATCAAAATGTATACATTAGATATTTCCAATTTCCATATCAATAACATTTTTAAAAACATAAAAAAGAATAAAATTGGTTCAATAATTTCATATAATGAAGACTGAAAATGTAGACAAATACTGAATACTTCATGTCTTAGTAGTAAAACTATTTCCTGTCCTGTAATGTTGTCACATGCTCCACCAGCTTACTTACTGACCAGAAAAAAATAATTGGAAGTTTAAATTGATTCATGCAATGACAATTAAAAAAAGTAGTAAATCTGAATAAAAATAGAAGAAAATAACTCTTAGGCAAAGAAATTTTCATCACAAGGCAGTTTAGGTTTAGTGTAGTGGAATTAAAGTTATAAATCAAAGGTTAGTCTCTCTATATAATCTGATGCCCTTAATGATTTTCAGTTTATTTCCTAGAAATAAACGTGTGTATGAAATATGTTTGTGTGTCGAGAGAGAGAGAAAGAGAATGAGCTACATGGAAATTATCCAGCTATGTGATATGCAGACATTGTGTGTGTGTGTGTGTGTGTGTGTGTATCCTACTTCAGGTTATTATGAGGATTAAATGAAATTATTATATGAAAATACTATCCAATTTCTTTAAAGGAAATGATTTATCTTATTGTAATTCCCAAATATAAGTTCACAAATATCTTTTTATTTTTGTTATAATTGTTAAGTAGTGGAATGTTGCTAGTAGCAGAATATTGTTCAGTAGTAGAACATTGTTATAAATTGTTCAGTAGTAGAACATAATCATGGTAGGTTTCAATACAGAATTAGTACATTTTAATTTTTTCCTTTACTCTTATTCTTAAAATTTCTCTTTCAACCTGAAAAAAAAATTGAGCTTAACCTACATTATACTCACCATTTTAAATCCATGAAAGTCTAAATTTCTGTATTGTGACTTTTATTTATAATATAAAATGTTTTAACTATGTCACTTAAAAATATTTAATCTAATTTGATTAATTTATTTTTTGTTTGTTTATAAGACCCAAGGAATGTTCGAACACACCACCCCTGGTGTGGAGCCAGTGCACTAGCCACTGAGCAACAGTGACCAGCAAATTTAAAATATTTAATCAAGAGACTATTCAGGACTGAATGCCTTCAATTTAGTCACTTTTCATATGGAAAATAAGCATTTCCCACTGCTTTTTCCAGTTAATATTTATTAATTATAATCTTTTTAATCATAATTTGGCAAAGGTAACATTTTTCATTTTTTCTTTTCCAGTTTTCTTCCTGTTTTTGGCCATTACTAGTAGTATTCTTGCTTGTGGGTCAAATTTTGCATTTCTAATTTTTTTCAAGTTTAATTCCTATATTTTAGTAGCCACTAACAATTTCTAAAATTTTCTAGCTGAACTATCGTCATACATATTTCATATTGACTTATTTCTTGCCAGTATGATTGTTGAAAGGTGTTCAATAGTTCTTGAAAATTGTGAACAAGTAATATTTAGAGAAGAGGTGAAGAAAGGGAAAAGGGAAATAAACAGTAGAAATGTGGGAATAAGAGGATTTAATGTGCAAACACAAAATATTAATAGTGAGGTTAAAATATTGTGCATTGTAAATGAATACATGTTAGAGTGATCTGACAATATAAAAGTAAATAAAACATAGATTATGTATACATTTATGCCATTATGGGATTCAATGTGTTGATTATGGAATCAAATAATGGCATAAATGTATTTATGATCTATGTACAAATGACTTAATAAAAAATAATAAAAATAAAACTAGTGTTAAATTTTTATATACAAAACAAATATTCTTGATGACTTACCCTTCTCTCTGATACTTCACTCCCATTTAACATTATCCTTTGTGGAACTGTGACATGCAGGAATATTCCTTCAGAATCTGCGTAAGAAAAATGTTTTGTTTTTGTATCAACAATCCTCTCCCATTTTAAGTAAATTTTTTGTATGTGCCCGTACACCTTCTTGTCCACAGATTCCATTGCATTATCAATGGCACGTTGTAAATGACACATTGAAAATAAATCAGATAAAAACAAACAAAAATTAGACACTTAGGTTCCACAAGCGTTTTTAGTTCATTTTTTTTGGTTGTCAATTTTTATTTTTTTTAATTCTTTATTAAATCATAACTGTGGACATTAATGCATTTATGCAGTACAATGTGCTGATTTGATATATAATGTGGAATGCTTACATCTAACTGATTGACATAACCGTCTCCTTGCTTACTTACTTGTTGTGGCAAAAACAACACGTGAAATTCATACTAATAGTATAGAAATGTATCATTGCATTATAGAATCACTCCAGGGTTTCCCTCAGGACTTGAAGGAATCAACAGATGGCCGTGCACCCCCACCTACATCCTCCATCATAGAGTGGGGTGGCCCTGAGCGTGGAGTACTGAGACCCTGAGCCTTAAAGGAGTGAGCAGATGCCTCCTCCACTGTCTGTGGTTCACAGGGCCTGGTCAGGAAAGAGGTGACACAGCCGAGGCCCTAGAGGTGATCTAGAAAAGATAGGACATGGTGGGAGGTCTCAGAGCTACCGGAAATTGTTCCCCATTAGAACCCAGCCTGCTCTAAATGAAAAGGAGTTGGAGGCTACTGGGGCTGACCTGGGTGGGCTTGCAGCCTTCCAAGTTCAGCAAGGAGCACAAGGAGAAGGAACATGGCTCTGCAGACCACAGGAAACTCAGTCAAGCCTGAGATCGTTGACATTGCTAGAACCGTTAGGATCCCTGAGGCTCGTGGGCAGGCCCTCGCCCCTGGGTGGCTGGAGCCCCAGACCACTAGCAAGGGCTGTGCACTGACCCAGTGCCCCGGGGTGCAAGCCACTGATCTCTAGTAGGTGGTAAAGCTTTCACAGGGCAGGGAGAGGATACACAGGATACAAACTGTGCAAACTGGTTTGTTGTGAAGAAGTTTAAATAATTTAAAACCCAGTCATGAAACAGCAGAATCCCAAGGGCCACCGGGATCCAGCCAGCCACTCCCATGAGAATGAGATTCTCCCTGGTGTCCTTCTGGACCTGCGGGGTTGGGGATTGTGGATAATGAGAATAAGAGAGTTCAGGGCTTGTCACCCAGAGCCCCTGCATGTACACTATCCTCTCCTGTACAGGGCCTCACCATCTGTGCCCATGACTGAAAATGTTTCCTCATTCAACACTCTTAGGATCTGGCTTTTTCTGTGATGGCCTGATGGTGTCAGCTGTTACTCAGAATCAAAACAGAGGGAAAGAGGACCAAAAGCCCTGGGCCCAGCACTCCCATGGGCTATGCATTCTATATTCCTTCATGGCTTATGACATGATTTTAATGCAGCTTATTTTTTTATTTCAGATTAATATGAGAGTACAAATAATTAGGTTACATTGTTTATACTTTTTAGGTAATGTCCAAGTGGTTGAGCCCTTTACCAAAGAGGTATGCCATAAGCCCTGACATTGTGCCCATTAAAGCCAGAGAAGACCCCAAGATGCCACCGAGAGGTAAACTCCAGAGAGAGCAATGCATCATCCTAATGGTCAAACCTTGGAAATAAATCCGATGATCAATAAATATGATGATCCCAAGACATGGAGGTTCAGAAGAAAATCTAGTGCATATGCTACCTGTATTGTCTGTCTGTTGTTTCCAGGGGGAGGGATTAATGTTTAATTGCAGGGACACTGCATGGAATGTGCTCAAATAGTACCATTAAATTGTGATACTTTTCTTCTGTTAAAGAAAATAATAAACCCCTCAGTAGTGATAACTGAAGTATATATAACTTGGTTTTGTATTTCTAGTGAGGTTCTTGGTAATTTTTTTTTTCACATTGCATTTTTATGGTGGAATAAGAAGAGGAAAACAGAAATGATAAATATCATTACCAGCAATTGCCTTTGTGATACTGCTGACTTAATAATTTAGCACCTTTGCAAGTAAGGAAAAATCTAGAAAATGATACATTTTAAATGCCAGTACCACTTCGGTATTATTCACAATATGGAAACAACCTAAGGGCCATCAAGGGATAAATGAATAAAGAAAATATGTACACACACACACACACCCTGAGGAATATTATACAGCTTTTAAAAAAAATAAAATTCTGTTTTTGCATCAGCATGGATTGAGCTAGAGGACATTATGCTAGGTGAAATCTAGACACACAAAGACAAATATGACATGATTTTACTTATATGTGAAATCCAAAAAGGCCATCTCATAGAAACTGACAGTAGAATCATTGTAACCTGAAGAGATGGGATTGGATGTTGATCAAAGGGTAAAAAATGATAGACTGGAGGAATATATTTTAGTGACTTGTTTACTACATGGTGACCATGGTTAGTTATAATGTGCATTTCAAAATTATTCAGACAGATTCTTTTTTTATAGTTTTCTCCATAGAAAAAGATAAATTAGTGAGATGATGGATGTGGTAAATTAAGTTTATTGAATCTCTCTACAGACAGAGCAAAACGTCACCTTCTATTCTATCAGTATATGTGATTATTTGTCAATTAAAATAAATTTATAAAAAAGAAAATGGAACTTGATCCTGATAGGGAAATCAAAAACTACTTTCATTGCATAACTTTCTAACAATTCTAGCTTATAATCCACAGAGAAAAGGAAAACTTTAATGCTTAATTTGATATTTATTGTCTTTGCAAATAAGGAGAAATCAAGAAAATTGAACTTTATCCTGATAAGGTCACTTTTTTTCAATTGTGAATCTTCCTTACACTACTAGATTACAATATAGTGTTGTGATGGAAAAGGAGATCTTTCAAATGCACCCATGTGTAGTTGACAGTGACTTTGAACACTGAGTAAGAAGGTATGAGGATGGAATGGTAGCAAGGCAGGAGGACAGAGGAAAATGAAACCACTGTGGAAGAAGGAACACATCACTGCCTCCTCGAACTTTGTGATAAATATCCTAAATTGCATATCCAACACCTGATTCCTCTTCTGATCCCCCTGTCACACACTTCTTCTTTTACTCAAGTATGTCCTGTTGTAAGGAGGAATGGTGGGAACAGTCGCAAAAATAAACTCAACTCAGTATTAAAACTTGGACCTGCTAAGTACTGGCACAACTGAGCAAATGATAGCTGAGAAATTATTATTAAAATAAGGCAGAGAAGTGATCATAATGGCTGACAATAAGTAGTGGGAAAGAAGACGAGGTAGGTGTATGTGGTTGAATATTCCTAACTTGTATTTTTAAATAGCCATATTGAGAAATAATCCAAATACAACATAATTCATGCATTGAAAATCTAAGATTGAGGCTCGGCGCCTGTGGCTCAACCGGCTAAGGTGCCAGCCACGTACACCTGAGGTGGCAGGTTCCAATCCCCAGCCCGGACCCGCCAAACAACAATGAGGGCTGCAACCAAAAAATAGCCGGCGTTGTGGCGGGCGCCTGTGGTCCCAGCTACTTGGGAGGCGGAGGCAGGAGACTCGGTTGAGCCCAGGAGTTGGAGGTTGCTGTGAGCATGACGCCATGGCACTCTACCCAGGGGGATAGCTTGAGGCTCCGTCTCAAAAAAAAAAAAAAAAAAGAAAAGAAAATCTAAGATTGAAAGTTTTTTAGGATGTTCACAGATATGTGTGATCATCAGTAGTTAACTTCTGATTAGTTTCACCTCATCAAGAGGAAATCCTATTCCCTTTAGCCATCAACCCTCTCCACTGGTTCTTCATCCCCACTCTCTCCTCCCAGCCCTGAATAGCCACTATGCTAGCCTTTATCTCCAGAGATGTTCCTGTTCTGCACATCTCATACAAATGAAAACACATACAAATATATGGTCTTGGTGACTGGCTTTACTCACTCAGCATAATGGTTTCAAGGATCAATTATGTTGTAGCAGGATGAGTACTTTATTCCTCTTAATGGATGACTAATGTGCAATTGTTTGAAGGTAGCACATTTTGTTCATCCATTCTTGGGATAACAGACATGTAAACTAAAAAACAACAACAATAACACAAAACAAAAAGCCAAAACACCTCTATTTCCTTTTCTTTGTTTTTTGATGGACACCCTGTAGATCTCAAACAGACTGTAAATAGGCTAGAAGTTCCCTAATCTGAGTATGATGCTCTGAGATGTGTAGAAGTGCATCTCTATTAGCAAGAGGGAGATGGGCAGGGGAGGGTGGCAAGAAAATTTTACCCAGAATAGCTCAGCCTCAGTGAAGACAGAGTTGCAAGTTCAGGCTCCCGCCAAAGACAATAAATACTCTAGACCTCAGTTAATATAGGGCTAAGGAAATGTCACCTAATGATGGAACTAAGTGACAGGAATTCAATTTGAGGTAGAGTGGATGATATTAACTATATGAGGGTGTTGAGGCTGGGCTTTCCCAGCTATTCTTCTACTCAATATCCCAAAGCCTGAGATGGCTATGGAAGGGCAATCTTAAGCTTTTGCAGAGATGTGAGGTGTAAGTGTCTTCTCTTGAGATGGGATTAGTCAGCATGGTCATAATAATCTGAGGAATCTGAATGTTTTCAGCTTGGGATGTAACAATACTCTGGGTGAAAAGGAAACAAAGTTGTTTATTTCTCCCCAAAATATCACAGTGGTTACAAGAATCAGTAAATACAAGCTTGTATACTTTCAGGATTTATTTTGGTTTATAAAATCAAAAGTTTCAAGCTATAACAAAAGGAGGAAAAGCAGGTTAGTTTTTCATTCATGGATCAAGGTAGTTAATGGTGAGTTTCTTCCTTATAGCTTTTCTCTATCTTATGGCTTTTTGATATGGCCATGCAGTCACTATTGTAAAAGTAATACAGAAAAATGGACATTTTGAATTTTCACCATTAATAAAGATTATCTAATTAATTATCTGTAATTAGTTAAACAAGACACTGCTTAGTTTGTAATCTATGCTGACATGCAGGACATTTTTAAAGGATGGTTTCTTTTTCATGAATAGTTTGTGATAACCACATTAAAAGTAAATATAGTAAACTGGAATTTATATGTATTTCATTTATAATCTCTAAACTTCACTTTGAAAATCACCAACAAGAAAATAGAAGGGAAAAAGAACTATGTTAACTTGTAAAGGAATGGAAAAGAGTTATACTAATTTGTGCATTTGCATCTGAAGCAGATGAGTGCTTCCAAAAACTTTGTGTGCACATGCTTAAATACAAACTTATTCTTCACTCTCCTCCAATACCTGACCCCAACCTAAATCAGTTCTTTCATTTCTATACAACATGTTATTTGTAAAAGGTATAAGTATTCATTCTGACAGAAAAGGTGGTATCCTTATAGTTCACATTCTTATTCTAACATAAAGACATCTATCCAGTCATCACCCCAATCTATTCAACCTATATCATTTTTCTCAAACATTTTTGTCTTTTTCCCCTAATCCAACCCTTGCCTCATTCACAGTATTCTGTGTTAACTTGTCTCCAGTTCTGAGGGAACCCATTTTTCTTAATTTATTCCAGTGACATTTGTAAAAAGCAAATCTTATCATGCCAAATATACCTCCTATCATCTAAAAAACACTTTATCCATACAGTCAAACTTTATATCATGGCATTTCAGACACTTGTCTTAGAAAATTCTTAACTATATGGATTTAATCTCTCAAAATTCATAAACTTAAACAAAATATTATTTTATTATTAAATAAAAATAAATAAATAAATATTTTATTTTTAATGGACTGTCATTTTTATTGACAGTCTAGGAACACAATGGACAGTTTCATGCAACAGAGATAAGACAGTCCCAAGAAAATGGAATGTAAAACTTTAGCAGACAGGTAAATACTCTTCACTCCCATCTTCTCCACTAGTACTATGTGATCCAACTTCATTATAAGTCTTCTCAAGGGCAGCCATGTCCTCATAGGCCTCATAAAATTCTGCTTTCTCCATTCTCCTACCCACATACCACTGAACAAAATCACACTTGGAAAACATCAGGTCACACTTATAGTCCAGGCGAGCCAAGGCCTCAGCGATGGCTGTGGTCTTGCTCAGCATGTCCACAGCTCTGTGCACCTTGGCCAGTTCTCTACCAGGTAGCACAGTGGGCAGCTGTTGATTGATGTCAACCTTGAAGCCAGTGGGACACCAGTCCAGAAACTGGATGGTACATGTGCTCTTGATTGTGGCAATGGCAGCATTGACATCATTGGGAACCAAATCACTATGGTACTACAGAGCAAGCCATATATTTACCCTGGTGATAATCATTTTCACCAACTAGTTGGCTGGCTTAAAGCAACCATTGGTGATCTCTGCTCCAATAAGCTGTTTATGGCAGGCTTTCTCAGCAGAGATCACAGGGGCATAAGTGTCCAGAGGGAAGTGGATTGGGAATAGGGCACCAGATTGTCTGAAATTCTGTCATGTTTAACATTCAGGGACCCATCAAATCTTAGTGAAGCAGTGATGGAGGATATAATCTGACTAATAAGGCTGTTCATGTTAGTGTAGGTCATAGATGGCCTCATTGTCTACCATGAAGGCATAATCAGAGTGCTCCAGGGGGGTGTAGGTGGTGAAGATGGAGTTTTAAGGCTCAACTACAGCTGGGAAAACCTGGTGGGCTTGGTAAATAAAGAATTCCAGCTTGGATGTCTTGTCATAATCAACAGAGAGGTGTTTCATCAGCAAACAGGTGAACCCAGAAACAGTTTCCCCACTAAAGCTGTGGAAAACCAAGAAGCCAAGAAGACCTGTGACCTGGTTAGCCAGTTTATGAATTTAGTCAAAGATGAGATCAACAATCTTCTCACTAATGGTGTAGTGAGTGGAGGCCTAGTTATTGGCAACATCTTATTTGTGTAGCTGCTAGGGTGGAAGAACTGGTGGTAGAAACTTCATCAATGACTGTGGATTCCAGGTCTACAGACACTTCCCTGGACCCGTGCTTTCCAGTGCCTGTCTCACTGAAGAAGATTTTGAAGGAGTCATTTCCTCCCCTAATAGTTTTGTCACTTTGGCATTGGGCCATCAGGCTGGATGCTGTGCTTCAGACAGTAAAGCTCCCAGCAAGCATTGCCAATGAGGACACCAGTGTGGCAAACATGACTGGAGATGCACTCACCTATGATAGGAACTTGTAGCTAAGAGTACAAAGTTTGGAAACAGAAAGGCATGGTTCTATATTTCACCCTTGGTATTTTCCTGCTTTATATCAATAACTACATTACTTAAGCACTTTTTCTCATACTCCACATCTGAACTATCAATGCATTCTGTTGGTTCACTAATAAAAGTTATCCAGAAGACCATCCTCACCTTCCCTAGTCTGATGTACTCTTTTCTGTTAATTTTATTCCATTTCCACTCTTGCCATCATAGAAACTATTTTCAAGAAATCAAACTTGTAAAATATAAGTCATGTGTTTGGAATCCAAACCCTCCAGTGACTTCTTCCTTCACTCAAAGTAATAGACACATGGCCTCTAAAACCACCAAGACTCTACATGAGCTTTCCTTATCTGACCTAATCACTACTGAAACCCTCTTGTTAGCTTTGCTCTAGATAAACTGGAATCACAATGACTCCTCAAACATTCCTGATATATTTTTGTATCATAGCCTTGCTGTTCTACGAAAGCTACTATTCACCTATAACTTCATGACTGGTTGTTGTTACCACTTCTTTCTTCTGATATAGGACCATACAAAAGAGGTAAAACTTGTTTTAGACTTAAGAAACATTAATATTAAGCAAAGAGAAGAAAAGTAGTTAAGCTAAATGTGTGGTAATTAACTAATGTATATCAATATTTACCTTTTCACAACATAAATTTCACCATTCAAATTATCATAGATAATTGTGTCAGTTCAATTCTTGTGTAGGATAAAGTTGGTTTACAACTATAATTGAAAATCTCAATCTCAATATCTCTGAAAGAACCTGGATGTATGGTTTTGACTTTTTTTTTGTCAAGATAAAGGCTGTGAGCTTTATTGTTCCAGTGACATCAACTCTCTGAACCATCCTTATTGCTTTAATCTCTTCTATATGATTAACCACTTTAAATTCACTACATAATTATGTGTCTATTACACAAGGACCAATAGAATAATCTGCTATTTCAAATTCTTGAGGCAAGACTTCAATGCAATCATAAGGGATTGTAGCAGCAGGAATTTGTGGGGCAAAAAAGAGAGAAACAAAAGTAAAGTTGATGACTTAAAATTTTATGAGTGGGAAGAAGTCAGGGTAATGTCAAGCTTGATATTGCTCCAGGACAGTGTTTTTAAACCTTTTTTATTTCATGGCACACTTGAACCTATGGTTAAATTTCTGCTGCATGCTTAAATTATGTTGATAAAAAAGAGCAAAATATATATATATATATGTGTGTGTGTGTGTGTATATGTATATATATACTTACTATGTCTTAAACCTTATTTAAAAATAATTCAATTAATGGTCTTTAAAAATTTTCATGGCACACTGGTGCCATGGTTGAAAATCATAGCTCTGGGAGAACATGAGTGAAGTAAGGAAGTGGTTCAGGAGAAGACACACATTAGATCATGATTGAAGGACATGAGAAGACAGCCAAGGTATAAGATCCTCAGCTAAGACATGGTTTTTAATAAGGTTATCACAAAAGAGGTAGATATTGATCTGGGCAGAAATAAAACTATTTATCATTGAGGTTAGGAGTGATGAATGTTTTTTTTGGTGGTAGGTAAGGAACAGAGACCCTCAGACTTAACTAGTAATAAAAGTCAGATAAGGAGAAATGGAAGATAAATAATTAATTGGATGAACTCTAGAGATCATTCTTGGTTAAATTTTTATTTTTTTAAATTTATTCCCAGTTATAGGCCTAATATAATTATTAATTTACACATGTATATTATAACTTCAAACAATATATAAAGATGCATTTTCTAACCCATCTTACAATAAAAATTTGTCTCTCTGCCTTGGAAGGATGTCGCATAGAGCATTTGACCTGATATCTATTTGCTCTTCAATGTAAGTTCTATCCCTCATCTTCAGTCCTATGTTAAACTATGTTTGTCAGGACCATGGCATTCTTAAGATGTAAATTTGGAGTATGAATGTTTTAAGGTAAGCTCCATTGCCAAAAATTACTAAAATTCCATACAAGGAAGAATTATTTCATTCTTTGGAAATATATTATCATTTCTAAGGTAAGAATAGCCCATTGAATCTTAGTGAGGAATAAATGGAAATGTGGGGAGACAATCAGTGTAAATCTATCAATCAGAGCATTAAGTATAGGAAGAGAATATATGATTGTTTATAAATATTTTATTAATATATTTAAAATACCTTAGAAGTTATTTTTGTTTACAAAAATATGTTAACAATTTCTAAATTATGTTAATATCACATAACATTAAATGTTTAAAAATTAAAACAAAATTAACACAAAATAATTTAACTTACTCTTGATATTTAAAAAATGGAGTTGAGATGTTAGAATGCAGGGCTAATAGCTTTTTCATAATAAGTCATTATTAAAAATAAAAGAATAACTATATTATAAATAATATAATTTATCAATTATTTGATTTCTTTGATTTACCTTTAACTTCATGACTGGTTGCTGTTACCATTGCTTTCTTCTGATATAGATCTGTATAAAAGAGGTAACACTGGTTTTAGACTTAAGAAACATACTAATCTAAAACAAAGAGAAGAAAAGTAGATAAGCTAAATGTGTGATAATTAATTAATATATACAAATATTCACATTTTTCACAATATTACTCTCAAACATATTCTATTCTATTGCTTTATCTTTTTCTAATGTTGGTTTAACTTAAAGGTATTCAACATCTTTTGTAAATTTCAAAATAAAAATCTATCCAATATTTTTCTCTATTTGGCCATATGGAATATGGCAATACACATTAATATATGTATGATAATGGCTCTCCACAGTTAAAAAGATAATATACATACACATCTTAAAATTTTTAGATCATAATTTATCTAATTTAATATTTATAGGAATAAATATTTAAATAACTAATTATGTAGACCAGCGATTCTAAACCTGTGGGTCATGACTCACGGGAACTGTATTAAAGGGCCGTGGCATTAGGAAGGTTGAGAACCACGGATGTAGACTATATTTCACTTTCACTAATGAGATACTTTTAGTGAGGTCTTTATGTCTGTCATCTATATTTCAGTTACATTTTATAGCATGTATACAGTGTCATTTTCAGTTAAGATCAGTTTTGGACATGTAACTTGACATTTTTAATCCAGACAGAACAATCTCTGACTGTAGGTTCCTTTTCACAGCTATTTTATTGTTTCTAGAAAATGTGAACTAAAGGGAATTGACTAAGATTATTGGCATTTTATTTTAAATACATATAGAAATAATTGAGATAAACTTGTGAGGCCACTTACCAGCAAAACAGTAAATCTGAAGAAAATGGACAGTGAAAAGAAGTGGTGATATCAATTATAAACTTGTGAGGCCACTTACCAGCAAAACAGTAAATCTGAAGAAAATGGACAGTGAAAAGAAGTGGTGATATCAATTATAACCAGTGTTACCTCTTTTATACAGATCTATATCAGAAGAAAGCAATGGTAACAGCAACCAGTCATGAGGTGGTGAGATGGAGGATAGCATAATTCTGACCATCCAGTTCATTTCCATCCTTTGTGCTTAAATTGAATTTAATTTCTTAACCTTGAAGTCCTGAAACTACTTATTTTAGTACTAATTGGTTCCAGTCTCTAATTCACACTACTGGATAAAACTGTGTAGGAGAAGGATAACATCAAGAAGAAGGGAGTCCTCCTCAATTCATTCCATGAAGCCATAATCACCTAAGCACCAAAGCCACGAAAGGACATAGAGACAAAGAAAAAAAAAAGTACATACCAATATCCCTTAGGGATGTAGATGGAAAAATCCTCAGTAAAATACTAGCAAACCAATCTGAACAAAACAATCAAAAACAAACAAACGAAAATGACCCACCATGACAAAGTGGACTGCATTTCAGGAATGCAATAAGGGTTCAACATATATATTTAAAAAAATGTGATTCACCACATAAATAGAAGCAAAACAAAAAGCATTTGATCATCTAAATAGATATAGAAAAAGGGTGGACCCAGTGGTTCACAACTGTAATCCTAGCACTGTGGGAGGCTCAAGCAGGTGGATTGTGTGAGCTCATAATTCAAGACCAGCTTAAGCAAGAGTGAGACCCCATCTCTACTAAAAATAGAAACATTTGGGGGAGAGGAGAAAGATGGCAGACTGAGAAAGATTGTTTGCAGCCATCTTGGTGAGATTGGGGAGAAAAGACTCAAAGTCACCTCTGGCTTCTAAGCACTGCCCAGAACCATACTTTTGGAGGCACAGGAGGGAGGGGAAAACATCAAGAGGTTTTCTTTGGACCTGGGCACTTGATTAGGTTACTTCAGGAGAGCTGGGGCAAGTGAGTGAGTGATTTTGAACAGCATCCAGGGGCCAGGACTGAGCCACTGGGCAGAACAGAGCTTTCATTGTTTGGCTGCAGGCTGGAGGCAGCCATTATGGGAAAGCTGCTTTGCAGGAACAGCCTTCAAGGTCCTATAGTGAGGCCAGTTCTGGTACCTTATAAGTAGGGCAGCCACTTCTGGGGAGATTGGAGCAACACATGCTTTCCTAGAAAAGCAACTGCATGGCCAAGGGACACACTGTGGAATGGTGGAAGCATGTCTATTAAGCAGGATGAGATCTTTAAGCTCCCAATCCAATCCCCAAGGGGATTAGGGGAAAGAAGTCAGGAAGACAGGACCAGGTCTCCTCAGCAAGAAAGAGGCTTCCAAGCTCCACTGTATACGGTTGTATCACCATTGTGATTAGCATCTCATACCCCAGAAGATCACCTGTTACCCAGGCAATACATTGCAAGATATATCTATATACATATATATTTTATTTTTTCTCTTTAAAATTTCTTTTTCAACTTTTCCCCCCTGGATTTTTCTTTTTATCTTTTGCTTCTCTTGTAATTATTTTTCACTGTTTCCTTCTCCAATAATAAGGGCTCCATTTTCCTAGGTCTTCTGCTTCTGTTCTTTTTCTGCCCCAATTTTATTCCTTAAGTTTTTTTTTGTTTGTTTGTTTGTTTGTATTGTTTTGATGTGTAATATTTTTGTTTTTCTTCTCTATTTGGTAGAGGTGGAGTCTTGTGGCTGTTCAGGCTGGCAAAGAGTGGCAGATGTCAAGGAACCCACCCAACCAAGTCCCCCAGTGATGGGATTTGTGGATGTGTGTTAAAGTACCCTACAGTACACAACTATTACTTCTCTCTATGTCTTTTTATTACCCTCTTCTTTTTGTCAGTCTCCCCTTTTACTACTTCCCTTTCCTTTCTCTTTTGTCTCTCTCTCTTTTTAATTTTTATCCCTTCTTGCTCTTCAATCATTTCTTCCTTTTGGTCCTATACCAAAAGGACACTTCAACATCTTAAGTCAGAGAAAAGGTAACTTCATAAAAAGTAGGAAGTAAAAGGAAAAATCAGGGCAAGGAAACAGACAAAAAGGCAACACTCATAAGGAAGAAACAGAAGAAAAATCCAAGAAGCCCCCCCCCCACCAGGCATCAGGTGGTAGCTGCTGAAGAGGATTAAAAACAGAATATTCCAAAACCAGAATCAAATATGAGAAGAAAGATATCAAGAATATAGAAAGAATATAGCAGCACTTAAGGAATTGAAGCAGTTAATCATGGAATTTAAAGATGCAGTAGAGAGATTAGAGATTAGACCATGCAGGAGAAAGAATCTCAGAGGTAGAGGAAAAGCTCTTGATGTAACACAGGCAGTTAAAGGGACAGAAAAGTGAGAGAGAGAGAGAGAGAGAGAGAGAGAATGTTCACTGACAGAATTATGGGACTTCATGAAGCTTTCAAACATATGAATTACAGGTATCCCAAAAGGGCAAGAAGTACACCCCAGAGGGATGGAAACCCTACTCAATGATATCATAAATAAAATTTTTCCTAGTATCAGGAAAGATTCCAAAAAACTCCTTTCAGAGGGATATCTAACCTGATGTCATCTCTCTTCAAACAGAGATACTCCTAGACACATTGTCATGAATCTGTCCAAAGTCAAGATGAAAGAGAAAATTCTGCAAGGAGCCAGGAGTAAGGGGGATTCTGGGAAGATGGCCAACTGGTAGCAACCCTGGTCAGAGGCTCCTGAGCAAAGGAAGAAAACTGGTTGGAATCAGAATATATGAAGCCAAAGACGGAGAGTTGAGCCCAGAAAGTTCGGCAAGCTGTAAATCCAAGGAAGAGCATTTAAGAACACAAAATACAGGTACAAAGCAGGCCCCAGAACTGCTTTCTAGAGACGCATGCCTCCCGCGGGCAGCAGGTGGCCGTAGAGAAGCCCCCTGCTCTGTGCAGGCACAGAACTACTTGCTAGAGCCTTGTGCACCCCCGTGGGTGGTGGCAAAGGAGTCCCCCACTCTGGGAGAGCCCAGAACTGCCTGCTAGAGAAGTGCACCCCACAGGCAGCAGAGGAGTTCCCAGCTCCAGGGCTCTGAGCAGGCCCAGAACTGCTTGCGCACCCCACAGCTGAAAGACAACATCCCTGCTCCAGGTTGCTGGATAGGCCCAGAACTGCTTGCTAGAGTCTCATGCCTCCTGCAGGCCGCGGATTGTTGTAGAGAAGTCCCCTGCTCTGGGAAGCCACAGAATTACTTGCTAGAACCTCACGGGCACCATGGGCTGCGACAGAGGAGTCCCTCACTCTGGGCAGGCCCAGAACTGCTTGCTAGAGCAGTGCGTCCCAAGGGTGGAAGATGAGATCCCTTCTCCAGGGCTCTGGGTAGGCCCAGAACTGCTTGCTAGAGCTGCATGCCTCCTGCAGGTGGCGAGTGGTTGAAGAGGAGTCCCCTGCTCCAGGCAGTCACAGAACTCCTTGGGAGAGATTTGCGCACCCCATCGGCAGTGTCGGACGTGGACCCAACTTTTGGCGGGCTCAGAACTGCTTTCTAGAGCCATGCACCCTACCGGTGGCAGAGGGAATCCCCACTCCAGGGCTCTGGGTGGGCCCAGAACTGCTTGCTAGAGCTATACGCCTTCTGCAGGCAGTGGATAGCCACAGAGGAGTCCCCTAATTCGGGCAGGCACAGAACTACTTGCTAGAGCCACGTGCACCCCACAGGTGGTGGCAGAGGAGTCTCCCACTTGGGGCAGGCCCAGAACTTCTTGCTAGAGTTGCATGCCTCACGGGTGACAGAGGAGATCCCTGCCACAGGCTCCTGCTCTGGGCAGGCCCAGAATTGCTTGCTAGAGACACACATGCCCCATGGGGGCCAGTGGAAATGTTCCCGACTCCAGGCACCCATACTGGGTGGGCCCAGAACTGCTTGCTAGAGCCACATGCATCCCACAGGCAGAGGTAGAGTTCCCCGCTCCAGGCTCCCATGCTGGGAGGGCACAGATGGGCTTGCTACTGCCCCACACGTCCAGCAGACAATGGGGAAGGAGTCCTCCACTCCTGCACCAGCTACTTTGGCAGGGCTGAATTAGGACTGATCTGGTTGCTCATGTGCCCTGTGCTA